ACTGTTGCTGAACCCGACTTGAGTGGATCCCCACGACCAGAGTCACGGAAACTGAAGACTGCGTGTGGGTAAACCTACATTTCAGCAAAAAAATATGATCATTTTACACCGCACTTTCCTAAAAATAAAAAAATGAATAATTTATTAAGACTGTCTGTGCAGTTATGACTGTGCTGTTGAATGGAGTTGGCTGGTGGTTGCAAATAAACTAGGACAGGTATTGGTACTGTAGAGCACTTCTTTATTCTCGACCTACATCGGACTCCTTGGGCTCTTTTGAATGTATTTGTCAAGCCTCTGACCGAGGTTTATCAAAACAAAATATACTTTGTTTCATTGTGCGAAAGGGGACAAAAACCGTTATTTTTGGGCACAAGAGAAGTGAGTTGAATGGTGGTATTAACTACGCAAGTGTCACATTCAGTGCTTCGTCTGGAATAGAAAGACAGAGCGCTGTAGTAAAATTTACTTTTATAAAAGTTCAAACGAGTTGTTTATTTGTTACTTGAATCAATTTTAATGTTATGTCAAAATCACTCCCTCGGGGGCACTTCCTTGTCCTTCGAAGTTGGCGGTACTTCAGTTGAGAGTGGTGCCTCATTTGGCCTCACCTGTCATTGACGCTGATCGAATGGGATGGTTGGTAAGACGACAAATACGCCTTTTTTGTGTTCACACGCACAACCCATTATTCCAGTAGATCTGAGCCAGTGAACCTATCGCCAAGACTCGTCCCAAACACGAGGACGAGGCGCTTGCAATGCCACAATCCTGTACCCTTCAAGGGATTAGTTGAAGACGAACGTTTCACCATTTATCATTCAAATGCAAATGATTTGTCATGTAAACAAATGAAAATGTCTGTCACCTGTACAGTCATAGGTTGGTTGTTTCACCTCTCGAAATTTCCTCCGATTCAGTATCACAAAATTTTAGTTCCACCTCTCCGACCCGTGAAAAGCTGCTTTTACTGTTCACTACAGGTCCGTGACAACTGGGGTAGATCTATGGGGCAGTTATTTTGTGTTTGCCAGCACTCGTCTTTCTTGAAAGGAGCTTTATGCTCATGTTATTGCAGTTTAAGCGAGCTGAAAGAAGCTTTTGCCTTTGTGAGTGGGGATGGGTGGAGGAGGAGGAGGAGGAGGAACAAAACACCTACACTAAACCTGCTTGTAATGCTCACTGCAGAGAAGGAACAGTGGAAGCCTACTTGAGAGTGAAAAACTCTTATTTTTAGTGAGGAAAAAAGAACACCACTGCTTCTTCGAAAGCTCCCTTGAAAGTGGGGCTCTGACCTAATCCTCTGCGCTGTTAGCGAACTGCGCCATTTCTATTACGCTTGTGTTAGTAACCAGTCACTCGAACATTGTGCTGAGTTTATCCATTAGAACAGAAAATGCTTACATAAAATGCTTCTGAACTTACTTAGCTTTTACAAAACATATGTTTTTCACTGGGATGAGGAGGGAAGAGGGATGAGCAATTACTCATGGACAAGAGTAGTTGGGGAAGTCAAAGCGTGTATTGTTCGTCAAACTTCTGTATTATCTTTTCAAGAAAACTCCTTTCTTCTACTTGACATTTTTAATTTCCTTGTGGGTGGTAGGATAAGGGAGCATTTTCCTCATCCTTATCAAAACACTTTCTCTTTTACCCTGTCCATACCTATTCACCTGTCGCCTTAAAGCGATGAGGACATTCATCGAGTACTTATTCTTTTTCTACCTTCAGATTATCAGCTACAAGCCCTATGGAAAGGCGGTGGACTGGTGGGCATTCGGTGTGCTTCTCTATGAATTCCTTGCTGGTCAAGTATGCTTACTACTTTTATGCCATAAAAAGTAGTATACAACCTCATTAACTCACAACTCCTCGTGAATGTTTGCCGTATTGCTGGGGACGTTAACTTAAAGTCACCTCTGATACTGTCAAGATGGTCCTTGAATCACTTCGAAAACAGGCAAGAGAGGGGCACTACTCAGATCTTCCTCATTACGAGGGATTTTAAGACCCACCTTATCCTTAAATGCCACCACAACAATGGGAGAGCTGCAAAAGTATCCATCCCTCTATAACCGCGCATATTTATGGCCACAAATGCCTGCTGAAACAATGAGGAGGCCTGGTTGTGTTGCTGTTTTGGTAGATGGAAGTACCACCAAACGTAGCGAGAAGGAACAAAAGCGCCTACTTTGGCGGTTGCAAAGGTCAGTACTTTGGAACTGTCACTTCTACTTAGCGAAGCTTATGTTAGACAAGTCCTCTTACGAACGACTTAATTACTTCCTTCATTTGATGATTGTGCTTGTGCTATTCCCAGGTGACCAACCGATTTTAAGGAGGCTGTGGACGGAAAATAAGCATTTATTTGACAGTCTAACTGACTCCCCTTTTCAATTCACTGATAGCTGTTCGTTTTGGTGCCTTTTTATTATCCAACTGGATAAATTTGGTCTTATTTTTGTGCTTGTTCCCTTCATTAAAGCGTTTTTGAGGTGCTTGATTTTACTCCACATCAGTGGGGAAGTTATGTAACTCCAAGGCAGTGTTAAACATTCCCTGACCCGTCCCCTTACTGTCATCAGTTTTTTCAAGCACTTTATCTGCTCTCTTTTGAAGCCTCCCTTCGACGGTGATGATGAAGAAGAGCTTTTCCGAAACATCGCTACTGGCGAGGTCTCCTATCCACGATCGTTATCTCGTGAAGCCTGTCTCATTTGCAAGGCCGTAAGAAATGCCCTTTTGTCAACCCTTCACATCACTCATCACTCCGCGGTGCTGTAGCACCGTACCGTCACTTCCCTTCCAAGCTGTGTGTTCGTCATTCAACGGAGCTCTTTTTGGTGCTTGTTTACACATTCCACTGAAATTCATTTCCCACTAACCACCACAACTTGCTAGTAGTAAATGGATTTAGGGAAAATGGTGGTTTAAGGCGTGGTGCTTCATCTTTCCACAGCTGCTAACTCGCGATCCCAACCAACGGCTAGGCAGTGGACCCAATGGTGAACAGGACATCTGTGAGCATCCCTTCTTCCGACACATCGATTGGAGGAAAATTGAAAATCGAGAGGTCCAACCTCCATTTAAACCGAAAGTTGTAAGTTGATTGGGTGATTCAACTCCTCTTCACTACTCCCTACTCTTCATGCTTCAAGTCTTTCTCCCCACAGCCATTAACACGTGGCACTCATTTTCGTTCACAAGTTCGCAAATTGTCCGAATGGTGCTGTTGTTGCTCCTATTTTCCTTGTTTTGCAAAGTCTGCAATTTTTTTGAAGGATACCACTTTTTTTTCGTGTTTTGACCTTTATTTGGCTCATAGGTGGTCATTCCAATTAACGATGTTATCTTCTTGAAGGCCGGTGAGAAAAAAAAAACTCAGGTCCTTTCCCATGGACACCGACAGCTTGACATAATTAAGCACCTTTTTTGGTCACTAGGAGGTTCATTTGAGCGCTTGCCATAGTGTCAACGTAATAACTTTTTTGGATAGAAAAAAAAACGAAGTGAAACAGTGAATTAGCAAACCAAATTCACCGGGCCTTCGCCTACTACTAAGGACGTCTTTTTTTTACATTCCTTGAAGCCTCACAACTCCACACCACTGCTATGTAATACACATTCGCGATGAGGCCAATTTGAATGACAAATTTGTCTATGATTGGACA